TGTAGGCCTTATTTTGCTCCCATACAGCATTGTTAAAGGATCTATTAATTAAGTAGATCATTGTCTCAACCGGCAAGACTTAATAAGTCAGTGATGAGATGAGCACTAGTAGATTTCACTCCAAATACAACTATCTAGGATTTGGTTTCACTTTTTCTTCAGTCTCATCTGTGCTATCATCATTAACTTGTTGGATGACAAATTTATCAGGTTCATCCTCCACCATCTCTACATCTGATCTGTGCTCTTCATCCAGGTGCCACCCAGAAATGTTGTCTCCTAGAGAGATAGGAAGAGGATGTTCTGCATCTAAGTCATCACGAATGCTGTCAATACCTGCTTCAACTAGACATTCCTTACATAGTCTGTAACACCTTGTTCCTTGTTGAACCACATGTCCTGTTAGGTCGGTGACATGATTCTTACACTTCCTGCAGATTAATTTGCCAGCTTGATGTATCTATAGAGATTTAAAATGGAAAATGTCAGCTTTCATCTAAAGAAGGGTTAATAGAATTTTTTGAGAAAACATCTACAATAATATTTTTATAAACTGAGAAATGCATTAGATCACCCTAAAAATAAGTAAAGGGGATTATAAACATGAGACTTCTAGAGCAAGAACCAACACATCTGTACTGATTTGTTTAATAAAGTCTCTAGTACAAGTACACTGGATCATTATCTATCTCTGATTAATTTTCATCTTGTAGTTTCTTAGAAGAGTCTTACACTTTATTAGTTGTGTATTTGCTTATCATAAGGGGAAAACTTTTTTTCTACCCAGAGGTGTTTATGCAACAAAAGGCACAACTAGGACAATGCACTGCTTCTGTGGTACACCTCTGCCCCGATATAATGCAACCCGATATAACACTAATTTGGATATAACGCGATAAAGCAGTGTTCCAGGGCAGAGCGGGGCTGTGGATCAAAGCAAGTTCGATATAATGCGGTTTCACCTATAACGCGGTAAGTTGTTTTTTGGGGGCTCCCGAGGACAGCCAAAGTATCCCGAGGATACCTAAAGTATCAAGGTAGAGGTGTACAACCAACTTTTTATTTAAACTGGAAACCAAGTTACTAACTGGTTCCAGGTATTCACATAGGCATGGTGTATCTGTGCACCAAGACAAATAAAGATGGGATACTTTAAAAAAGTAATAGAAATGCCACACTATTATTTCAGCACTTCAAGCCTGATTTTTCCAACTCTTAAGTAGCCAAAAAAAAAAAAAAAACCAGCTTGTAATCTATCTGCTACCAATTTGTGGCTACTTTGTTCTCCAACACAACTCAATCTCAGTCATTTGAAGACCATTTTTTTCTAAACTGTACCTGTTGTGCTTTTTATTATGGCCCTTTCTTTTAAGTACTGCTTAAGGTTATTTTTAGAAAATGCTATGTTATAGCGTTAGTTGTTTCAAAATCCTATTACTTTACATGTAAAAGGCACTTGTCTCCACTGAAGAATAAGTCCATAAGTTTTGAGACCAAAGTCCTATTTGTGCACATAACAGATGCAGCACATGGAACTACAGTGCAAGTTTTTTTTCACTGTTCCAAAAGACCTCCTTCAGCTTAACATTTAGGGACAAGTTTCAGAGTAGCAGCCGTGTTAGTCTGTATCTGCAAAAAGAAGAACAGGAGTACTTGTGGCACCTTAGAGACTAACAAATTTATTAGAGCATAAGCTTTCGTGGACTACAGCCTACTTCTTCGGATGCATTTAGGGACAAGAGAGAGAAGTTCAGGCTCTATGGTCTCTTTACCACAAAAGCCATGGTTATGCTACCATCAAAGGTGCTAATTTTAACGGTAAATGTGATGGTTAGTGTTGTGATGTAGACACTTGCCCAGTTCCTCAACTGAGACTGCTAAATTATTTTATACAGGCCACTGAAGAGCAGTAAGATGAGTGACTCTCTGGGGCTGGTTCTGGATAATAAACTGCTGTTGCCAACATAAATTTCATTTTTTGAGAAAACCAGTCTTTAGGCAAATGACATACTGTTTGGAAATGGCTACGTAGGTGCTCTAATCTTGTGAACTTTTTCCCACATGCCTCACACGGATAAGGTCGTTCCCCTGTGTGACATCGAAGATGCCGCTTCATGTCTGCTCTCCGTTTCACTGTATGGGTGCAGAAGGGGCACTTGAATCTCATCTTAAGTAGATCATCTGTTACAGAGAAAATCCTATTTGTTAGGTAAACATCAATAGTCTCTTCCCTAGACACATTTGTTGAAGCAAAGTTAGCTTTTCCTATAATCTGTCACTTGAGAGAAAAGAACCCAAACCACAACTGCAACCCTCCTCCTCTCCCACTGCATAATTTTTCCAACTTAATAAAAAGTCAAATACTTGGTGAACTGATTTAGATAGTGGATTCTGTCCTAGACAGACTGACCCTAAACTAGGTTATTTACATCCATACAGAAGGTGTCTTAACATGCATAGGTGTTCAGATGCCTACATATTGGATTCTTGCTTCAGATAATGTTTTAGAAACCAGATGAATATTTGTTTAATTTAAAATATAGACATCATTCCAAGACTCAAGGTGCCTTCATGTAATGTATACAAAAAATACAATTAGATCTCAGCAGCATTAAAATAAATTCCACAGAATTCTGCCAGCCACCTATTCCGTTCCTCAAGAAAGCCCATTCTAAGCCTTTCCAAAAATCCTCTTAAACAGAGGTCTTTTGCAGTATACCCAGAAAGGCATCAAATTCAGACTATTTTGGACCAAGGGTGGGGAAGCAAGTTAAGTCTGAGCCCTCACAGAGACCACATTTCTTCTCTTTTATAATGGGGGAGGGTGTAGCCAAAGCACCTTTGATGACCACAGCAGTTGCAGTATGGCATGGAGAGAGAGAGAGGCAATCCCTCAGGTAGTAAGTAGGCTGCTACCAGTTAGAGCTGACTGAATTTTTTTCATATGAGTAGTTTGTCAAAAAATGTAGTTTGTCAACCTGAAATTATTCACATATTTGACATGAATTCCCCAAATAGTTCCTGGGGGTGGGAGGAAAGATAACTATCATAACCTTTACCCCAGGGGTTATGAGCACTCGTGAGATGTGGGAGACTCACATTCAATTCCCTCTCTGCCTTACATGGCGAGGGGATCTGCCTGACGTTCAAGACCGAAGCAGCTAAATGGCTAATGTGGGGCTTGGAGTAATGGCAATCCATGCCAATTCAGGAAAAGGCTAAACCCAAGACTACAGTCTGGTTCTTACTTGTGATGGTGCACCATGCTACTACTAAACTATACTAAGCAGTTTTCTAAATTTCCTTTAGGCACAGCTGTGACTCAGATTTAAGTCTGTCACAGCGATCTTACAGCCACAGCGGTTAATATGGACTTTTAGTCATAAGGAACCCATTGTTTTTTAAACCAACTTGTTTTGTTTCCCCTTAAAATCTGTGAATATGTTCAGTATTGTACACATGAATATACAGAACTCTTCTCTTCCCTCTCCCATTGGGTACTCCTTATTTTACTAATGTTTAAGACATTTCCTGCAGTGTAACTCATTGAGGAACACTTCTGAACCTTCAACGGTTTCAGTAGCTTTTGCCGTCAGAATGATTGAAAAGCAAATTATTGTGAATTGCAACATTTCTTAAATATATGCAATATGAATGAATATACACTTCAAATGTTTAATAGTAAGTATTTCATTTGGCAGAGCGTGGATCATCAATAATGCAATTCTAGCTTAGTGCAAATTGCGGTTAATTTCTTTGGTCACACTGATTGCTTTCTTATACTGTACTTAATATCTCTACCATTGATTGCATAAAGTAAACCTCCTTGAACCCAATCCTGCAAACACTTATGCACCTGAACAGTATCACTGCAGTCAATAAGATTACTCATGTGTAAGTATATGAAGGATTTAGGTCTAATAAATGCACAAGCTATTACTGTAGCACTTAGTGGTACCGAGGTTGGGACTCCATTGTGCTATAGGTACATTAGCATGAAAGACTGAAAGCTCTTTGGGGCAGGAACTATCTAAATAAACAAGATGGATAAAGCCGGTGAGGAAGAGGGGAAGGACAGAGAAATGAAGTAACTTACCTGAGGTGTCACAGCAGATCAGTGGTAGAACCAGGAGTAGAAACTAGAGTTCAGATCCTCAGCCTGGTGTAAAATGTCTCAGAGCTCCATGGAAGTCACACTAGCTGAAGATCTAGCTCAAGTCTTCTGGCTCGGAGTCTAGATGCCCACCCACTAGACTATATTGCTTCTCTCTCCTTATTCCTTAGGTGTTACACTGAATTAAGAAAGCGTAATGAAGCTTAAAGTTTGGGCATATACACATGATTGTGTCTTTCCAAGGTTTCGCAGACACCCAGGATCTTTTCCAAGAGAACCCTGAGAAAAGTCTGAAGACAAACACCTTATAAAATTATATCTTCTCTTACCTTCATTCCAACCACCCATTACACCTAGAATCGTGGGCACAGAGGTATACAGTTCATCTGCTTTTAAATCCATATACACCGGGGAAGTTCTTGAAAGTTCTTGTTCCAGCTGAGCAACAGACCATTTCTTTGGTATCACCTTTGATTCTTGATCACATTGGTACCCCGTATGAGCAGTGTTGTTCTCCGTGTCAAACTGAATTTGCTCTTTGGATTGAGAAATGTGGTTAGTCTCTGAAGCACTGCAACTTCCACTGGCCTCATCAGGTTTGTTTGATTTATATTTCAGAAAGTCATGGGACTGTGACAGTCCTAGACGCCTTTGGCGCTTTTTCACTGAGCCAAGCTTTTGGCCTCTTTTGGATAATGGTGTTTCTTGCAGTTGGACATTCATTTGTGAAGATGAGTGGTTCCTGTTATTGGTCCAGGAATTTTCATTCACCCTGCCTGCCTTTTGATCTGGAATTAAGTGAGAACTGATGGGGTTGCTTTTAACTTTCCTTCTTGATCTATAAAAAGGTGGGCAGTCAAACCTACTGTTGACCCTTTTGGCTGAGAGGGTGAAGTAGTGATCCTTCTCTTTTTCATTAATCTCCAGTGAGGATGTAATGAAGGTCTTACATACACTAAGAATATCTGTCATCTGCAGATAACTAGCAGCTGACATTACTTCAATCACATTTTGACCAGTGAGAGACAGTTTTCCTGAATATACAAAGTCCAGAATAACTGTGAAGGTAGCAGGAGAGAAGACCTCAAAAGTAGCTGTGGTTGCCTGACTAGTCTCTTTTGAGCTTTGGGAAAGGAGCATTTTGAAATAACCACTACTGGCAAACAGCACATTTCTGTGTGCTTTGAAGACTTTCCCCTCAACTAGGATACTGCAGTCACAGAATAAGTCTTGCTTGCGCTGCTCATTCAGTTGCTGAAGGAGATGAAATTGATGGGAAGAAATCTCCATTCCAAAAAGAAGGTAAACAGGAAGCGTTGCTCTACAATAAAGAATAATTACCATCTTGACAGGCGACATGTAAACCAAGGTTGCTGAACAATTTCAAAAACATTTTTCTTTAATAAAAGGAAACAGTGAGACCATATAGTCTCCCCCCCCCCAGGATCAGCCCGCATTAGCATAAGGGAGAGAGAAGCGAGACTATTTTGATAGAGCAGATGAGATGCCTCCGTTGGATGCTCCAGCTCAGTGCATTTATATCCTAAAACGGAGCAAAACTCAGTGAAAACTTTCAAAAACCCGTGACAGAGTCAGCAACGGGAAAGAAGAACCATCCTTTTAACAGCTATGAGGGGTACGGTTCACGAGTGGTCCTGCCTGAGATCCGGTCACCGGGTACCTTGGGGCACGATTGCATCCTCTGCCCAGAAGGACCAGGACGGCAGAGGGAACCCAGTGCCTCCTGCACAAATCTCAGCGGGCACAGAAACTACCGCCCCTGCGCCAACGCGACGGCATTGGCGGAGGGCGCTGTCAATCACCCGCACGCCCAGTCTGAAGTGGCCCTTCCAGCCCGGGGAGCCAGGGCCGCCCGAGGGCGCGAGGCACGCCCGCTCGGAGATCGGTGCGGGCGGGCTCCGGATACGAGAAATCCCAGCTCACGGCAGCAGCTGTCGCCCGGCTGTCTCCTAAGCGGGCGAAGCATCAGTGCCCGTGATCGGGCCACCGCGCCAGGCGGCTTGGCACGGGGCTGCCCCATCCCCGCAGCTCCGGCGCCGCTGTCCGCAGCCTCCCGTGTGCGGGACCAGTGTAGCCCCCCGCGGTCCGAGCAGCCCCTGCCTGGCCTCCCGCTTCCTGCGTTTTACACGCGTGTCTCCTTCCCCCTTCGCCGCCGCCGCGCTCCCGCTCCCCACCAGCCCTTTGTTGCCAGTCCCGGCCCTTTCCAGCAGCGCCCGGGCTACAAATGGCGCCCGCTCGGGTCCCCCTGCGAGCGCGGCTCGCTCGGGGCTGAAGCTCGGCTCCGGAGAGCGCCCGGGGCTGGGAGCGCCCGCCCGCCCGCTTCGGGTCCGCAGAGCCAGCCGCTGTCCGGGCGGGGGCCCGTTCAGCGCCCAGCGCCCAGTCCGCCCGGCTGCGGAGCCGCCACTTACCGGCTGGGTTCCGCGGGCTGCGGGAGGTGGGTGCGGGATTCCCCGGGCTCTAGGCTGGGGCTCTTGGTCACTTTACCGCAATTTTGCGGGTCCCGCCCGCAAGGCCGAACGCGACAGAAACAAAAGGTATTTGCTGACGTGGGCGTCGGTCAGAGACGCCCGAGGGCTGGGGACACAATTAAAGGGGCAACGCACCGATTGCAGCAGGCGCACAACCCGGCAACTTCCTCTGTTGTCTCAGGTGGAGCTCACCTTGCTCTGCGCTGTTTCCCGCTCCCCGCACCCGCAATCCCCCCAAGAAGCCTAGTTCACTGTTTCCCGCAATAAACTGAGCACGGTCATGGTTTAACAGTGTGAACGGTTCAAATATCCAGGGGTTTCTTGGGTTGGGAGAGTGTACGGGTCGAATACAGGTTTCTCTAGTTCTCCTTTTTGTAAAGGAGGAAGCCTTACATTCAACGAGGGGCATGTGAAACCAGTAGCAGAACTAAAGCGGAAGTAGGAGGTCGCTTCTCCCTCTTCCTCCCAAAAGCATTTAGCTTAATTGTCAAGTCAAGCCATGGGTGTGGGGTGTCCCCTATCCATCAGCTAACAAGATCGTGGCGGAAGGCTGCTGTCAACCCCCTTTCAGTATTTGCATTTTTAGTGCAACAAAATAAATCAAGACGGACGTTATACGGTTTGTGTCTTTGTCCTCCCACTCCCTTACAGAGTTTTTCGTGGCTCAGAAAGGACTCCCGCATCCGAAGAAGTGGGCTGTAGTCCACGAAAGCTTATGCTCTAATAAATTTGTTAGTCTCTAAGGTGCCACAAGTACTCCTGTTCTTCTTTTTGCTGACCCATCTTGTCCCCCATTAAAAAAAAAACACAAAAACAGTGATGTAAGAATAAGCCTTCTTCCTTTGTATTTCATGTGTCACTATTTGCATAGTAAAAGATAGTGCTCGTTTGATTTTGGGTATTTCTTTTCTTAAAAAAAAAATACTGGAAACAGTTCTTAGACACATAATATGGTATAAAAGCCTCTACTTATTAGCATAACAATTAGTTCTGGCATAAGTATGGACAATCGACATGCGTGCACTGTATAAAATAATGACCTAAAAAGTCTTAATGGAAATACAGGAGGAGGGAAGAGAGTGTATTGAAACACAATTTAGTAGATGAGATTTGGAAGTTTCAGGTTCACAGCTATACACTTCTTGCTAGAATTATAAAAAGGTCATTTTCATTCTGTCCATAATTTTGGTTTAGCAAATGGGTACTCAGATCATGTGGCCCTTTTTTTGTAGTGTTCCAGTAGTAGAAGTACTTCTCTGCCCATCTTCCTTGATCATTCCTGAGATATTCTATATACATTAAGAAATTGACACCTAATTTCCTTTTTAATGCTTCATCTCAGCTGGAATTCCTATCATGTTATAGTTTGTTTTGAAAAGTATTTAAGTACTGTACTGACAACTGTCTTTTAGATCATTTGTTTATAAACAATGAAAGACACACAAAATAAACTGGGCACTCGATGTATAATTTACATTTCTTTTTAAAATGGTCAAATCACACATCTGCCTCACAAAATAAACTGGGCACTCGATGTATAATTTACATTTCTTTTTAAAATGGTCAAATCACACATCTGCCTCCTACTGTATGTAGAACAAAATCATGCAATGTGTTACTGTTGTCTGACCCCAGTAGTCCACTGAAGCCAAATGGTTTTAGTTACCTTATTTTGTTGTACCCCAATTTAGTCAAACTCATTACACATATTAAATAAACCCCACAGTCCATCACTTAACTTCTCTGATGCTTATTTGTGGCCTTGTCTGGATTAGGAGAAAAAGGTACCCCCACCCCCCAAATTAAGTTAGCTTAATTGAGCGAGTTTAAATCAATTGAAAACCCCACTTAATACCAACATAGATACAGTCTGACACCTTTATAGTGATTTTTTGCAGATCAAGATAGAGCCTAAATATTAAAACCTATATTCATATTATGCTGAAAGGTGTTAATGGCTACCCGTGGAGGAGTCTTGGGTCCATAGACCATCTCAGAAACTCCCTGAAGCTAATGGGTGTGCCAAGCATTTTCAAGCTCAAAAGGAGGATGGGACAATCAAGCCCCTTTATGTCGTAAGAATAGCTACAGGATTTGGGGCTAATTTGTATAGAGTGCTAACCCTGGTTGCAAATGCAGGATCTACGTGAGGATATCAGCTGCAGGTAGTGTGTGTTGGAGACAAAAAGCCAGACCGGACAAGGAGTTGCAAGTATGACCCTGAATGGAAGCAGACGGACATGGTTTCTTGGCGACAGTACTCACTGGAATGGCAGACTTGGGGATTTCTGAGAAAAGAAACTGCCTGCTGTGGTTTGTTAGTGTGTTCAGGGAAACAAGACATAGTGTAATATTATTTTGCAAAAAAAGTACATAAAGGCTTGTATCTGACTCATATCACCAATTTCTGATCCTAAAACAACTCTGCAAGTCCCTGAATTTTGGCTAACGGCTCAGTGCAAAGGGAAAACAGTATTAAGTGGGGTTTGCAATAGAATTAAGATAGCTTGTCTGAGCTAACTTGATTGAAAAAGCACCTTTTTCTCCTAGTCCAGAAAAGGCCTCTCTTTCAGTGAACTTGTATAGCAGGTATAATAGATAATGTTTTCACCCCTCAGCTCATTGTAGAAGAGAAGGAATAATAATATGCAGCTTCTGGGCAGCTGATGCATTCAAAATAACTTTGCTGAACATTCCTCTTATCCTTAGTATGCAAGGAATTCAACATATCACTATATTCAGTTAGTGTCAGGGTTCGTTTTTTTGCAACTCATCTTTGAAAGGCAATTTAAGTAAGTTACCCTTTGTGGAACTATTAATCTGATTGGAATCGAAGGATGTTAGTTACATCATAATTCCTGAAACACTCTGTTGAAAGGTTGTGTAAGTCAAAGTATGTTCATTACTTAGAATGATGACAGTTTCTTGTTGATAAGAAAAATCAAGAACATCTCTTCTGAGGCTAGGTGAAAAAAATTATTATGAAGGCCCTATTCTGCATTTGCTTTCTAACATATTTTGTAAGTGGTGTCCTGGAAACAATGAAGCTGAGATCTTCATACTAGATCTTCAGATGTTGAGACTGTTATAGATTTAACATCCAGCCTGCTTGTGAGCCATAGCTACTGTACAAATAGCATGATCCTGCTCAGTGCATACTGCAAGATGTTCCAAATTAGTACTCCTCTGTGACCGTGGTTGTGATCATGCCAAGAAAGGAGAGAGAGATGTGGAGAAATAGGGAGACAGAGGAAAATAGGAATTAGCATACTGACTCTCACCAATAGATAATCCGTTGTGACGGGGCAAGGCCAGATGACTATAGAAAAGTAGTGGGAGACAGATATATTAGCCCCAGGTTAAACAAATTCCTGGTACCAGGATAAGTAAATGGCAGCTGCTCCAGGTCAATTAAGACACCTGGGGCCAATTAAGAGCTTTCCAGAAGGCAGGGAGGATGCTAGATTGATTGGGACACCTGAAGCCAATCAGGGGCTGGCTGAAACTCAGTTAAAAGCCTCCCAGTTAGTCAGGTGCGCACGCATGCCAGGAGGTTGTGCTGTTGGAGAGACTGAGCTGTGTGCGCACGCACACACACACACACACTGTGTGTGTGGAAATAGCCCAGGGAATTGTATGTGTCCTGTTCCTAAAAGGTCAGCTACACCATAGCTGATACTATTAGGGTACCTGGGCTGGAGCCTAGGATGGGCCCAGGCTCCCCCCCGTTTGCCCCCCTCATTAATCACCAGACTGGGAGACAGAGACTGTGCAAGGGAGGATAGCTTCTTCTCACCTCCCTTGCTGGCTTATGATGAAAATGGCTCAGTAGACTGTGACCCTTGTCTCTAGAGAGAGAAGGGTTAAGGGGAGGGTCACAGTGAGCCTCTCAGGCTAGTGAAATCCATCAGGAAAACGCAGGACCTATGGAGACAAGGACAGAGCTTTGTCACACCGTCTAGTCACTCAAAGTGAGCAGCATCACCAAATGCTTCAGAGGATGGAGCAAGAAACCCTGTAGTGAACAATTATGAAATAAAATGCTCAAAGCTGAAGCTTCTTCCTAACTAATCATTTAGCAATCGGGGCATGCCCTGAAACATGGTGTGTGTCTAGCCTTTAGAAAAAGTGATAGGATACATAGAGGACAATGGGATGTGTGAGAAAACAGTAGGTTTGTAGTCTTACCATTGGTCTTACTTACAATTTTTTCCACTGAGAATTATGTGGAAAATGTCCATTAACCTACTAAATCACCATTCATTGCATTGATTTCTATACGTCTCACTCTTTAAGTAGGATACACTTTTAAGAAGTCAGAGGGAGGCTTACTGTCTCTAGTTCCTCCTGTGGTTGGTGTTCATGTTCCCCAATCTTTTCTTCAAATTCTAGGGCATGGACAAGTGATTTGGCTGCTGAGATAGGAAAGACAGAATTTTAGTGACAGACTTGGCTATGGACTGTATGTGCAGGGAGAAAGACGGTGAAAAAAAATCAAAGGTGACCTGGAGATTGCAGATTAGGTGACAGGAAGAATTGAGGTATTGCTCAGGAATGGAATGGGGCTGGAGTGGGGGGTGGAGAAAAGGTTTAGAATTCAGTTTTGGCAATGAAGTTTGAAAAGAGTG